GTGTGTTGATGTTCGAAAATATAGTTTGGCACACCGCATGCAAGCACATAGACAGACAGACAAACACACACACACACACACACACACACACACACACACACACACACACACACACACACACACACAGAGTAAGGTGACTGCCGGGCTGTGTTGCAACTTGAAAATAATTTCCTGGAATGAAAGGAAGGTGTGGTGCTTAGTTTTAAGTATGCCTTCTGTCCAACAGCACACAGCTGCTTTTATGTAACAAGTGGATTATGTAACAAGTGGATTGACTATCTTTCATTTCATGTAAGTTCACATCACTCTTTCTTTTTATGGATATATATTCACATTGTATGTATAGATACGAGTCTGTGAAACATGTTCATGTTTCCAAACTTACCGCTCTCTCTGCTCTCCGAAACCCCTCTTTGGTCATCCAACCGTAGGTCGCTTAGTAGGTGCTCCAAGATTTTGAGTGGTGTTCCCGAAACCACCACATACCTGTAAGAGGCAGAGTCGCCACATCTTTCGTCACCAGAGCCTGAAAACCATGAACGACCACTTCCATCCCTCCATCCTCCCTCCCTGTCTTCCTCCTTGTTCTCTCCAACATCATCTTCATCAATGTAGCGAAAGTGGGGAACATCAAATGTGCAGATTTCTGAAACGCTAGCATTTTCACCCTCATCATCATAATCGTCCTCATCATCTATATCCTCCTCTGCTTCTGCGAGTGCAGCTAGCTCAGTGGTCATCTTCATATCTGAACCCTTCCAGAGGATGAGCCCTCATTTAAGCTTTGCATATCCAGGGTGGATTCTCTCTCCCGGGTAACCGCTCGAACTGTTTGTCAGCTATGAGCTCCTACAGTAGTACACTGAAGGAACTGATTGCTACCAATGATGCTGAGCTAGACACACACACACACACACACACACACACACACAAGCACACACTTAACCTGCCTGTCACCGACACTCCCTGCATTGTGCCTGAGGTCTTGGCACATACTGACTTAAAAACACACAAAACAAAACTAAAAATGTTCTTACACACACGCACACATACATACATGTGAACCTAAACACTACACACACTGATTTGTGGAAGAAAGTAAACCAGTCTTGGTGTCATCTTTGTTTCCCTTTCAACTGAAAACAAAAAAGCCATTCTCTTCACGCTCTGAGGCAGAAGCGAAAGAATACATTATCTTAGTCACACACACATACACACATACACACGCACAGCACAACTGATATTTTGCGTGTAAGTGTAGTGTGTGGTTGTAACCTGAGCTCCCAAAGTAGAAAAACAGAAAAAAGACAGCATAGAACTATGATTATGTTTTTGTTGCTACAGTTTGTATTGGAAAGCTCTCATTATGCAGTAGGAGGAACTGACCTCTTGTCGCAATCCTCCTCCCTGGAACTGCCCCCTGACAATGTGGGTGAGGGCCGGTCCGATGGAGACGTCACTGTAGAGGTCACTCTTCGCAACACCAACACGTCCCGACCTCGCTCCTTCAGACAGACTCGTCCCAGTGCCTCCTGAGACAAAAATGAGAGGCAACCAAATCAGAAAACATCACAAAACAGCAAGGATAGCTAGGTCAAAATCATAGGTGTCCAATAAGTAAGACAGAAAGTTTGGGGTTATTTACAAACTGTCTTCATATTTTTGACCACTAGAGAGCACTGAAATATCATGCACAGTTAAATGTTTTTTTATAAAAGTGCTTATTTAAGCATTACATGATATATTATTATTATTTACAATATTTCAATTATCGATAACTTTATCAATCTCAGAAATCCAGTATCCATTACATTGGGCTTAAGTGTCCAGATCCTTTCACTTAAGATTTAATTATTTGTCCCAGACAGACTGCAAGTAAATGCAGTGCGCACACCCTCATAGATCCATACATGCATGCACAAAGAGAGGGAAGTATAGCATTTCCTGCTTTGAAAAGAAAGTATTGTATGATAGCAAATAAGAATAGGGACAAATGAGAATGTGGGCTGACACTTGAAAATGATCCCTTGCTCCAAAAATTAACAGCAACTTGATCTGTGACTCTGGCGCGCATGCACACGCACACGCACACACACACACACACACACACACACACACACACTTGCAGTGACAGAGTACCGTGAACAGAGCTCCAGAAGGACAAAGGAGAACAATAAGAAACAGCCCGAGGAAAGGATCAAAAGAGGAGAAGAGAGAAGGAGATCAAAGATGAAGGAGGAGAGCAGGAGGAGAGATAAAGAAGCAACGTCTCTCCTCCAGCTGCTCACTGCAGTCTTAGCTGCAGCCAGACTGAGCAACAATCACAACTGACACAGAAAGCTCTCTGTGCAGGGCTTTCTTTCTTTCCAGCACACCATGTGTCTTTAATATGTACAGATACATCATGTAGAACCACTACGTACAGTTGTATTTTGTTACATTTTGAATATTTTGATGCCACAGTTACATAATATTGCAGTGGCGAGGCTTGCAAAACTTGAAAAGGATGCAAAGGTTCATACAAAGTGCAGACAAAGTCTCCTAATCAATAACTGATCAGAACATCTGGAATCTGAATTTATTCTGTAGACATTGTGGAGCCTTGAACACAGAGTACCTGTAATGCAGTCAGAGATACCTTTATAACTCACAAAAACAAGTCAATAGACTGTAAGCACACTCACACACAGTCTCTCTGTCTTTGTGATCGACTGATGAAAGGAGCCGTTAGAACCTGAGAGACAAGAGGTAGGATCAGACTCGGGTCAGACACAACAAAATGCCCTTAGTGCACTCATTCTACTGGGAGTATGATACAGATGTTCAGCTGTCACCAGATCCTTCATCTCAGATGTACTAGTGTGTGTTTCTTACTATAGTTATGAGGGGCAATTTAGGTTCAATACCAACATTATGAGGACATTTTGACATTGTGAGGGCATTTTAGCTGGTTCTCATAAATTCAAAGGGTTGTTTAAGGGTTAAGACTTGGTTTTAGGGTTAGTGTTAGACTTAGGTTAACATTAGGGTTAAGCATTTATGATTGTAGGTGTTGTATGATGCGTAGACTGTAAAGACTAATGAGACTAATGTGCTGTGTTCACACAGTAGTAGCACAATAACACTTTATCTCTATACAGCATCTAAAACTCACTGGAGCTGCTCATAGTTTTAATGTTTAAATACCTTATTCTGCCATGTTACATTTCTTGTAATCAATTTCTCAATTCTGCTATTAACCATCATTAACTTGTACAACCATATGCTAACACTACCCACCTACCACCCACCCAATCTTTGATGTTCATTATGTAACATGCTGACATTAAATGTTCTCTACAATTACACCAACACAAAGATGTGCACAGCTGATAAACAAGGCAGGGAAAGCTGATGTCAAGAGTTCTGCCACCGCATGACATTAAATACAGTTTGGGCTGGTACCCGCACCACACCCAGTGGCCCCAGATGGTCTGAAGGGGGACATGCCATTAAACCACATCATTCAGGGTTCAAATACAAACCAGGATGTTTGATCACAACTCTCCACTCTTTATCTCTGCACAACTTTCCTGTCTCTGTACACCAATAACTATCTCATAAAGGAAAATTGCCCCAGAAAAAAGAAAAAGAGTGAGATTATGTAAACAATATAACCACTGTAAAAACAAAGTAAGAGTAAAATGATGTGTTGTGCTCCAGATAAAGTAGCAAACTGTTGATTTTTCTGATACCAGAGTCATTATCTGTATACAGATGCCAAGAAAAACAACTGAGCACACATACACACGCAGATCAAAAGGAAAATGTACCACAACAAAACTCACAACACTGTCACCATGTAATGTATATGTCACTATGCTACTTGTATACACATTCACATGTACACATTATCTCTAAGATCTGAAAAGAAAAGTGCAAACAGAAGTTCCCAAGAACAACATTAATTTAGCCTGAGAAAGAATGCAAGCAGCGAGCAGGAAAAATATACAAAGTGCGCACTTGAACACTGAGGAGAGGAGGGGTTCAGATAGTTATGCAACACAGAAAAAGAGAGAGCAGGATAAGAAAGGCCAGTGACCATGACGGAGAGTGAGAGACATGTGGGAAAAGAAGAGACTGAGAAAGAAATAGAAAGATGTTTGAGTGCAACCGTTACAGATTTTTTATCTAAACTATAAATTCACTAGATCTGGGATTTATTTCGGATCTGCACCAAATTGCACACACTCATTTATATCAGTTCCCTAAACATGTCAGATTTTTCCCTATCAACATCAGTTGATTCTTCTCTGAGAAATCAATGAAAATATTTTAAAATGCCCGGTCTTGCAATGTTAAAGAAAGTAAAAAAAATGTCCTGGATCTGCCTCCTGATGCAGATCCACGGCTCTTCCTTGGGTTATGCACACAAAATTTAGAGGAAAGGGTGGGAAAAAAAACATATTGCTGGATAATGAATGAATGTAAAAAAAAAAAGTGTGGAATAACATCATCAGGTGCAGCTTTATCGCTTCTGTGCAAGCAGGTGGAAGAAGAGGAGGGAGACTGGCAGATGTACAAAAAAACAAATGAACAAAATACTGAAAATATCATTTTCTCTATCATGCAGATGTTAGATTGTGGTATAATTTAAAAGAATCATGATTCACTTTCATCGACAGGGTGCATTAGAGGTTATGATAGAAGTTTAAAAGGAAATGATATCAAATAATTCTTTCAGGTCTATGAGCTTGAAAAGATGCTCCCAGTCTTCTCTAAGTGGATATAGGAGTAGGAGCTCATGTTGATCTATGACGGAGCAAATGAGAAAACTGCATGAAAGTGATGACTCAGTACAGTCACTTGTTCTCAGTAAACAGGTGCGTCAGTCTCTTTCCTTCCATTACTCCCCATTCCTTCCTTCAATTCAACCATCTGTACTCCCCCCGACTCTCCACCCTTTCCTCCTCACTGTCTCCTTGCAACAAACTCTCTCTTTCCTCTGTTCATCACATTCGAGCCAAGTCCCTCTGTCTTTGAATGGTCAGATTTTATGCTCTACAGGTTTGGATTTGGGAACAGAAAGCAGAGGGCACTGTGCCCTTCACAGGGTCATAAACTGCATACACACATCTTCCTCTCCAACACACACACACACACACACACACACACACACACACAGACACGAACGTACGTACGTACATAAAATAAGAGAGTTCAATTTTAAGATTTCAATTTGAGCATGCAATATGAGAAATTAAGAAGTCAGCATATATTCAGCCTCTTACAAGATCAGTAGCTGCTCCTTGATCTTCATCTGTCATTCACTCAAACTGTTTCTCTGACACACACACATTCAGAGGAAAGGTGGGCCTCGTGGAAAGCCTAAAAGGAAGCACTCTCTGTTCCCTGCCTGTTCCTGAATGTGTGTTGGTGTCTGTACTGATAGTGACAAAGCCATATCAGTGTTGTGATAGCTCTGTGCCCCATTTCCTGGAAATTGTGGATAAAAATCACAATGCTTTTAGTAACTGGTTTTAATAATGTAGCTGATTCGTGTTGATGCATAAACACACAGAGAACATAATTTGTAACTTAAGCTATTTGAAAGTAACTCCGGATGCCCTGCCTGTGTGTGCGTGTGTGTGTGTGTGTGTGTGTGTGTGTGTGTGTGTGTGTGTGTGTGCGTGTGATCGCACATGCTGTGACCTTGTATAATCCCCTGAGTAGGTTGACCTCTGTTAAACTCTGAAGGCTGAAAAGTACAAGTATTAGTCTGTAGCAACTAGGAAGACAGAGATTCACCCAAAGCACATTTGAGTATCACTATGGAAACAGCCACCAATGGTTTGTTAGAGCTTGTCTGTCATGGGGGAAAAAGGAAAGTAAAAAAAATAATTAAAAAATCACCATGACGACCCAGTAAAAGGAGAGTGGTCTCTGAAGTGATTCAAGCTTGTTACTTAATTTTGGTTTGTGCCACATTCTGCAGCCTGAGATAAAACAACCATCACACCTATGTTGCAGAAAAAGACTTTTACTCTTGGAAATGATAATAAATCAGTATGAGCTTCCTGCCATCCATTTAGAGAAGAGTAAGAGGATCTTTTCCAGCCCATAGACCTGAAAGAATCATTTGATTCATTTCCTTTCACACTTCTATCATAACCTATGTACCCTATCGATGAAAGTGGTGCTTGATACAACATAACATCTTTTTTTTTTTTATTATACCACAATGTAACATCCATAAGATGTAGATTTAAACAATATTTTCAGTGTTTTGTTGAGGTTAGGGTTGGTAATTTGTTTGTGAACAATTTGTACCTTATTTGAGAAATCCTCTTAACGTACTTATAGCCATCAAGAAAGTCTTGTCTTAGAAAAAGAGGTGTCTGTAGCCCTGTAAGAAACACGACCAATCATTTCATTCAGACCGAATGAAATGATATGCTGGCCACGTCTCTGTCACTAACTGACCCGTCCCAGTTGTGACAATCAGTGGCTGTTGATGTTAATCCACTCTTTATTTTATTAATATTTTCAATATTATCATAATCTAGCAATATATATTTTTTTCCTTATGAACCTTTAAATAACATGGGCATTTCATCGTTAACCTTTAAACATCAATTCATCCACATTGTTCCCAATTTTTCCCTTAAAAGTCTGAGTAGATCTCAAGGTAAATAAAAACTTGTTTTCGCACTCTGACAATGTCACATCAGTCATTTTTGTCTGACTGCGACAGGATTAAGATGATTTAAGATAAGGCTAAGTTTTGCCTTATGATAATTAAGTAAAGCTAATGGGGATGAATTGCCTTATTATTTAAACAATCTGTATATAGTGTGTAGGTAGGAGTCTAGTTTAACCCTCTCTTTACTTTAACACTGTTGTTTCTGTAGTTACGTATATTATTAATATGCTTGTAAACTTCAGTGTGTTTTTACTTTAGCATGTAAGTAATGAAGGTAAAAGCGCTTTGTAAAAATCTCCCAGAACAAACTCACTGAGCTGATGAGTTGTGCGGTAGATTTCACAAACACATGCATCGTAATGTCAGCTGAAATCAGACTGCATCTGCTTCATTTCCTGCCCTCAGGTATACTGTAGAGCACAATTACACAGTATAATGCTTCGCTAACACCCCGATCATTATGTGCACACACTGACTCAGCCCACCACAGTACCACACACACATACAGGATCCAACACATGATTATAGGCTCTTTCCAGCAAACTCACACACTCACACACACACGCAAGTGAACATAGATACACACACAACACTTGACAGACTGTTAAAAGGCCATGAGATGATATTGCGCTAAGCCATTATTAATGACCGCATTAGACGAGGAGGAGAACTGGTGGTTGTTAAATCTAAATTCATTCAAATGAAGATGTGTCTGATGATCTGTGAAGATGTACTGATGATCTACAGAAATGAGCAGAAGTGCTGTGAATGTGTGTACTTGTGTGAGTCTTTCAGATTTACAGCAACACAAATCATGATGGTCCTGATGAGGATTTACTCTCAAGATCTCATGCAGAGCCCAATTTGTGAGTAACTCAGATCTGAAGTGTGTGTACGCTTAAAAGTGATGACAGTAATGACGGCAGCCACCACATGATGACGTCCATTACTCTCTACTCACACTAACCATGTAGCCACAACTGGCTCTGCAGATCATATGGTAAGAAACCAACAAGTTCACAGAACATCATCATCTGTCATATCACGATAGTATGACAATTGAAAATATCGGTACCATCACACTCTCTACTCACAGGCTGGTTCCTGTCGGGCAGCCGGTAGTTGTGGTTCTGCAGCAGTCGACAGCCATCCTTGGCCAGACGCTGAACGGCCTCCAGCCCGAGCCGACTGGTCAGCTCCTCGCGTCCGCATACAGACCCCATACCTCCGCTGCCGCTGCCACTGCTGCCACCTTCCCGCAATGCACACATCCCGCCCAGCTGCAACACAGGAGGCATGAAGACATATCTCAACCCACAGTCCCAAGACATGGTGGAAACACTCAGTGTCTGCTTGTAGAATGGAGGTCCAGAGAGTTCAATGTTTTTGTCGCTAGGAGAACAAAACCACTGTGGGCATAATTCAGAAGTGTGTAATGACAAGTTTTCAATTGCCTCTTTATGTCCATGTGAGGAGAATGAGAAAAAATCCTGAGTCTATCTTTTTCTCTCTCTAATTATTCTTTGTGTCTTAGTCTTTCTATCCATTATGGTCTGTAATTCCCTTCTTCTGTTGCACTTCTCTACTTGTCTTAGTCTGACTGCTCTGTGTCAGAGGGTTTTAGCAGAGAAAGAGGGAGTGTATGTGATTGGTAGTATAAGTGGGCGGGATTGTGGGTCTGTATGGGAAGAGTGTGTGCTGAGTGTGTGTCTGTCTCCTCCCCTCTGTAGACAGGACTTGGAAATGTGTAAACCATCCTCGTAGCCCAAATGTCTATCTAAGACTGTCAAAATAAAAGAGAAGCACATAGACACAGAGACATAAGGACAAAGAGAAAGTCCGAAAAACAGCAAGAGAAAGAATATATTTGTTAAAAAATTTGCTGAACTGGAAACAAATTGCACTGTCCTCTGAGATACACAGAAACCATGGCTGTGTGTATGTGTGTGCTCCCTTGGGTGCTGCTTGTATGATGGTTATCACCGTTGGTGGTAGACTGGTCTGGTTATTTTCCTTGGAAGAGAGAGAGGTGGGTATTTAATTTGAAGACTGGGAGCTCAACTATCCCATGGAATGGTAAGAAACACTCACACATGCATGATGGCATATACTCCCACGCTTTATCCCCCCCCCAATGACAGCTCTTATCTGGTCGAATAGCCATGTATACACAGACGTTATATCAGAGCCATGGTCCAATGTCCCTGGCTGCTTCCTGTTAACCTGTTTTCAGCTTCCTGTCTAAGAAGCAGAACACACAGAAGATAAACCTGTCTGCCGGCCGTGTGTTTGTATTGTGTTGCTGTCGCCGTCTATCTCCTTCTCTGTCCCAGGGCATCCTTATTTTGTTCTTTGTTCCCATGTATTTGACATTTATGACAAGCAGGAACTTTCAATGGGTTGAAGAATAACTGAAACTAAACTATTCTGAGCATCAACAAAAGTCTTGGATTAGCTTGAGGTGGGGTTTATCATGCTCCTTCTTGATATATAAAACAAACCTAGCTTCATGTTACCATCGCAAACTTTAATGTTCTCAGACCCCATGTTTTCAATGTGTTTGCAGGTCGTAAAACATAAAACAAATTTCATTGACACTACTCTACACTATATGATGTGGTTAAACAACAGACGCCCCACTTCTGCAGCATAAAGGGGTCACAGAATGATCACTAAGGTTATTAAATGGTCACAAACCAAAAACTAGAACCACTTATCTACAGTGCCATAAGTATGATTACATTTTAAAGATGCTCTTTTTCTGCTCTCCTCCTCTCTCCCCATCTCTCTGGTGTAATCAGAGAGTGAATAATTGATGGTGAAAAAGAGGTTTCCACTGTACAGAGATGGTATCAGAAAGTAGGCTTCTGCACTCTGTTCTGACCCGGTTTTCAGTCAACTCATTGTCGGTACACACAAACAAGTTGCACTCCGTTACCTTTAAAAGAGAGGTATGGTAATCAAAACAAGCCAATTACGGTGTTATCCGTTATATATGCCACAAGCTGAGGGAGGTTATATTTTAATTGATCACTACTGGTCATATTTACACTGGTTCGTTTCCACTGTGGATCAGCAATAACAAATAGATAGCATCCAGCTTATTCAATTAGGGATATTCACAATAACAACACTGGAGCAAAAAGCATCAGAATGGTGCTAATGCTAACCTTTTTATATTGTGATAGCAACTTTTTATAATGGTCATTCCTACCACATGATCACAAAGAAAGAAAGAAAGTTCATTTCTACAGCCACATAGGATGCTTTTTTGAAATATGCTTTATGTAATTGTCTGGTGCAACTTCTTGATGAAGTCACTTTGCATAACATTATGTTAGGGAATTATTTTCTGACAAATATAAGCTTTAGATATTCTCTCCAGCACTACCATATAGAAAAATATTGGTAAATGATATGACTCACCTTTGAATTGATCACTTACAAAAGTGAATCATATGGAAATACCCTCACAAGTAATATGACATGCACAGACACACACACACAGGCAAAAACAATACCTTGCTACACAGTAATAACAACCACTATGTTTGTGTTTCAGTGTACCACACCTCTGCCGCTCTAGTTGTTTGTTTATGTTGGATATGAAGAGAGGCTGTCCATCAGCTCCAGACTATACTAAATGATTCTCTCCACAGTGTTATACCAAAACTATAATCTGTATGTGTATGAACAGTAGATTGTGAGTGTGTATTACCGGGCTGCTCTCCTCACTGGGTGTGCGAGGTTCCTGTTGGTTTGTCTCTGTCGTCTCAGAGTCCTGCTCTGATACTGCAATCATAAGGAGCATCACGTTAGACTGACAGGTCTTCACTCTCATTAGGTAACTTTGTCTTTGTCCCGGCATGTATTCACAAAGCAGTAGAAAATAAAACACACTCACAATAAATGTATACTTACAAGCTTTGCGAGTCTTTCGGGCAAGAGCAGCTGCCAACTCACTTTGTACCTGTTGGAGAAAAAGCTGAAGGAGTCAAACCCTAGTTTATATATACGATTTATATATATGTGATAAAGTAAAACATCCTGTCTTCCTGCAGCTACCTTTGAACCATCTTGAGTATTTAAGCGTTTGCAGGTTTGTTTAAATTTCTCAGATTCACATGCACACACTGACCGTGGATGTGAGCCTCTCAAGAGCTTTCATCTGGAGAATCTCACTGCAGATGTCCCTGTTGCCTTCAGAGTCTTCCTCTGACCTGAAGACACAAACACGCACATAAAGCTTTATTAGCAAATAAGAGCATAATTCACATCAAACACTGTGCAGGGAAAAAACGTTTCAGTCCTGTAGAGTGCTCTCTACACTGCCCCCTGGTATGATGGTAGAAGACTTGCA